GTACATATGCAAGTGTTTATCAGCATTAGTTACTGCTTTTGCTTTTATAATGTCTTACCTTGTTTTGTTCTCCCACCAAGGCTTGTTTCAAAGGATTTGCTGTTTCCCCTAGTTCATTAATTGTATTCAAACGCTCACTTTCCATTTATACTTCTTTTCCTTCTATCACACCCTCTCAAACTCTCCTCTCTTTTCTTATATGTAGATATTATTAATAGAGCCTATTTTTTTGTTTTTATTTTGTTTTCCTCCAGCATATCCTATATTATCTTTTTTCTTTTCCTGGGTTAGTAAAATAGAGAACTTTTTAAAATAAGTTAAATTATAATGTCAATATATGGTTAGTACTTTAAATGCTGAATTACTGGTACTTGTTTCTCCTCAAAAAAAAAAAAATTGTGCTAGAAACTGAACCTACATTCTGGATTGGGCAAGTGGATGCTTAAAAACCAAGATACAGCCTCAGCTTGGGGTATATCATAAAGAGAAAACCACTTACTAAAAAGACCTGCAGACAACAGTGGGGATATCCATGCCAACTGATCTGCAACAACTCTTAACACAAAAATACAACAATCATGAGAAATCAGGGAAACAAGATGCATCCCCAAATTCATAACTCTCCCAAACTGATCCCACAATATTTAAGTAGATAAACACCCCCAAATTTTAATAAGTTATTTAAAATTATGAATGAGATCAAAGAAGACACAAATAAGCAGCTAAACAAATCAATTATTAAAACGATCAATGAGCTCAAAGATACAGCTGAATGAATTAAAGGTAAACAATGCTAGATATAAAAGACCACTTCAGTAAAACAAAGAGATCAAGGTTCTGAAAAAGAACCAAACCGAAATCCCAGAGATGAAGTCCTAAATTAGTCAAAGAAAAAATTCGACTGAAAGTTTAAGGGCTTGAAGACAAGGTGGAAATATTAGAACACTTAAACAATTGAAAAAAAATTAACAAAATGATTACCAAAGAGCTCCCGAACAATTCTAAAGGAACAAATTTAAGACTCATTAGCCTAAACGGAGGTGAAGAAGTATAGGCTAATGGTACAGAAAATCTATACACTGATGTTATGGCAGAAAATTTCCCAAACCTGGAGAATAAGGTGAATATCCAGTTAACAGAGGCATTTAGAACCTCAAACAGACATGACCAGAAAAGAACCTTTACATGATATTACAGTCAAACTACTAAAAATTCAGAATGAAGAAAGAATATTAAAAGCTGTTAAGAGGTCACTGTTTGCTCTTGCATGGTGACCACCCTTACATTGTAGGGTGTACTTCTTTTCCTACTTTTTTTTTTTTTTGGTTTTTTGAGACAGGGTCTCACTATGTAGTTGAGACTGCTCTGAAACTCACTGTCTAGACCAGATTGGTCTCCAACATGCATAGATCCTCCTGCCTCAGCCTCCTGAGTGCTGGGACTATAGGCGTGCACCACCATGCCCAGCTTCTTTTCCTACTATTAGTGGCCCAAATTGCTCAGCAGAGCCTGTTGCATTTCATACCATTAAAAAAACTTTGCTACTGTTTATTGTGTGTGTTTTTTTTTTAAATAGCTGTTTGAGATAATGTTAAATTGCTACAAGGGCAAGCCCATCAGAGTAACAGAAGAGTTCTCAGAAACTCAAAAGGCTAGGAGGGCTTGGAATATTGCATTTCAAGCCCTGAAAGAAAATAACTGCCAACCAACTATTACTCCATCTTGCAAGGCCATTCTCTAAATCAAAAGAGAAATAAAGGCCTTCCAAGATAAGTACAAAGTTGAGAAACTGATGACCACTAAGCCAGCACTGCATAAAATGACAACCATGAGACCAAGAGAATGAATATATCTCATTGGGAATGTGAATCAGGAATGAAATGAACAACTAGAAAGACAAAAATACGGCAGGAATTAGGACACACCCTTCAATGGCAGCACTTAACATAAATGGTCTTAATTCACCTATTAAAAGACAGACAGACTGAGAGACTGGATTGAAAAACAAGACCCATCTACACTGCCTGTGAGAAACACACCTCACCTTAAAAGACATTCAGGCTGAAAGTCAAAGAATGGAAAAATGATAACCCAAAGAGGAGTAGCTATACTTTTATCAGGCAAAGTAGGCTTGCTTCAAACTAAAATTGTCAGAAGACGGCCACTATTAATAAAGAGAATAATGTACTAAATAATGTACTGAAGAGAAATAACATTTGTACATCATCACACACTCAATTTCATAAAATAAATACTACTTGACATAAAGGGATCACACAGTCTCCAATACAATCATAGTGGGTGACTTCAATACCAGTTTCAAACAGATATGTCAGCCAGATCCACCTCCCCCACAAAAAAAACTAACAAAGAAAAATCAGAGTTAAGCTATACCATGGACCAAATGGACTCAACAAACCTCAACAGTATTCCTTTCAACAATAAAACATACGTTGTTTTAAGCAGCCAACGGAATTTTCTTCAGACTAGACCATGTTTACCCCATCAAGCAAGTGCTGCTAAATACAATAAAAGTGAAACAATCTTATTCATCCTATCAGATCATAATGGAATTAAGCTAAACAGCAACAGAAGAAACTACAGAAGCTATACAAATGTGAAGATTAAACAGCACACACTCTGGAATGATCAGTGGCTTGTTGAAGAAATCAGGGAAAAATAATAAGAAGCTCCTACAATCAAATAACAGAAACACAACATATCAGGCTCTGGGGGACACAATGAAAACAGTTCTAAAAATGAATTTATGGCTATGCATGCCTACATTAGAAAAACACAGTGATTCTAAATAAATAACATAATGATATGGCATATCTCAAGGTTCTAAATAAACAAGAATAAAACCCCAATCAAGCAGCAGGAAGGAAATAATAAAGATGAGTAGAAATTATAGTGAAATAGAGCCTAAAAGAATATATGGGATCAATGAATCAAATAGTTGGTTCTTTGAAGAGAAAAACAAGAATGATAAACCCTCAGCCAAATGTACCAAAAGAGAGAAGATCCAAATTGATAAAATTAAAGATGAAAAGGATGAATTAGACACCACTGAAATCCAGAGGCTAGTTAGAAACCATTTTGTAAAGTTGTATTCCAAAATAGATAAATTCCTAGACATATATCATCTACCACAATTTAACCAAGAAGATATAAAAACTTTACATAGATCAGTAACAATGATAGTGAAGCAGGAATAAAAACTCTCCCGACTAAGAAAAGCCTAGTACCAATAAATTTACTGCTGAATTTTAGGACAACTTTCAAGAGGAAGTAACAAAAATGCTCTCCAAACTTTTTCATAAAATTTAGAAATGTTAGGAATGCTTCCAAATTCATTCTACAAAGTCAACATTTCCCTAATACTACAACCAGATAAAGATTCAACAACAAAAAGTAAAGACCAACATCCTTGACAAATACAGATACAAAAATCCTCTGTAAGATTCTTGCAAACAGATTTGCCAATCAAGCTCTTATTACAACATTCTAATGCTTCTCTAGCCTCCTTCTCTAAACTTTTCTAAACTCCTCCCACAAGCCAGTCCCAAAGGATTCTAAACCACAAGGTGAGGTACAGTCATAGCAATGAAATCATTTTCATTTAAATTACAACTAAAATTAGTACTAATTTTTCTGTATTAGTTTTCCTGTTGCTGGGATAAAATACTTGACATCCATAATTGAAGAAGAGGAAGATTTTTAATTTGGTTCATGGTTTCAAGAGACTTAGACCATGGTCTGCTGGTTCTGACACATAAATATCATGGTGGAAGAGGATGGCTAAGCTACGCTGCTTAGTTAATGGTAGCCAGGAAACAGCAGGTGAGCAGTGTCAGAGAGGAAGAGGCAAGGGACTAGATATAATAGCTAAGGTCATGCTTCTATGACCCATACACACACGTACCCAGAAGTGTGCTTTTCTAATCCCCTGAGCAGCTCCCACGCCAATCAAGTTGACACAACTAAGCTTAATCACCACAGAACTGGCACAAAAACAGATGTGTAGACTACTGGAATAGAGCAAAAGACACAGGTACAAGCCCATGTACCTATAGCAATCTGATATTTGACAAATGGGTGGAAAACATATGCTGGAGAAGAGACACCTATTTTAACAAATGGTAATGGGAAACCTGGGTATCTACAAGAAGAGGACTGAAATTAGGTCCCCACCTGTCACCCTGTACTAAACTGAAATACAAACCGGAAAACATTGAAAATGCTGGAAGAAAACGCAGGGGAAAAACTTGAACACATAGGCACATGCAAAGTCTTTCTGAATCGGACATCAATAGCTCAACAAATATTATCAAGAATCATTATCTGGGACTGTTATCAAATAGAGAAACTTTTACACAGCAAAACAAATGATCAACAGAGTAAAGAGACAACTACAGAATGGGGGGGAAATCTTTGCTAGCTATTCTTCTGATAGAGTATTAATATCTATAATATATATAAAGAACTTAAAAAAACCCAAAAATCCTAAATAGCCCAATCAATAAATGGGCAAATGAATTAAACAAAATCTTTTCATAAGAAGTCATTGCAATGGTCAAAAGTACATGAAAAAATGTTCCACATCTTTAGCTATTATGGAAAAACAAATCAAAACTATACTGAGATTCCAATATCAATAAGAATACAAGAACCAGTGAATGCTGGTGAGTATGTGGGAGGAAAAGCAACCCAGGAAAACAAAAGAAAAAACGTGATGTGAACATGAGTGACTATCTTCTTTCAGTCCTGATTCCCAACTTTTCTTCTTATTTGCTAACAAGCAAGGATTTACTTCCATTTTCTATCCTCTAAAAAATATGATTTCTACACATTTACTTACCACAATAGAATAAAAGATTTAAAATTTATTATTTTTAAAGTGAAACAAAACCAAGTTAATATCTAAGCATTCATAATACTTTTCCTGTAATCCTGTTTCCTTAGTGTTTCCCACCAAATGGTATCATTCTAAGTCTTACCTCTGTGTTTTCAGTCGCTTCATTTTCTGTCATAAGGTCTGCTAAAGCATAGACAAATCCAAGATCTAACCTGAGATCCATTTCTTGAATCAATACTTTGAAATACCTATGTTACAAAGTAGAAAACAATAAAAAACATTAATTGCACTAAGAATATTGGATGAGAAAAAAGTATTTGATATATATTAGAACTTCGAAACTTAGAATTCTTAAATGAACAAATAAAAAAACACATCATGATACCAATGTTTATAAATAGAGAACCTCTATGTAGAGAAATGCCATAGAGAAATGGAAAAGTAAGCTATAGTATACAGTAATTCAACAAAACATTACACATTAGTAGTAATGAACAAATCATAGCTACATACAACAAAATCAATAAATTTTTAGTATAAAATTTAATTTAAAAAGCAAGTTGCTGAGGTTTGTTTACAGTTTGAAACATTTTTTAGAAAATCAGAAAAAACTGAGAGCTATAAAGCATGGAGGTACACACACACAATATCGGTGTATTTTGAAAAGCAAGGAAATGCAGACCAACTCAGTGATAAGGTGAGACGAATGACATAGGGAGCATCACACAGACAGACATTTCTGCTCACACTCCAGTTCTTAAAATAAGCAGTGAGTGAATATGGAAATAGTATTTTTATCCGTGCTCCTAAAATAATATACGGCCATCACAGGCATTTTAAACACAAAAATAAGGTCGTAAACTAACTCAAGATTTAGCAATAAACTATTCTTAACATCTAGGTGTACTTCATTACACATTGCTCTTTGGCTTTTATAATTTAATATTGAATAGTTAAAACTTTGATTTATCTGAAATCTATAGAGTACAAATCATTCCTATATGTATATATTTTGTTTGTTTGTTTGTTTTGTTTTGTTTTTTTGTTTTTTGAGACAGAGTCTCACTATGTTGTTGTGACTGACCTGGAACTCACTATGTAGCCCAGGCTGGTCTTGAACTCACAGCGATCCTCCTGCCTCAGCCTCCCAAATGCTGGGATTACAGGTGTGCACGACCACACTTGGCTCAAATCATTGAAATATTAAACCAAAACATTAAATGAACATGTAAGAGATGCACGAAAACACTTACTTAATACGTGATATCTGGGAATGTCCTGCAGATCTCATGACAATACTGACATCTGTAAAGGGCTTTGGTGCTATAAAGGTTATAAATATGATTATTCTTATGGACCTTTAAGCCAAAGTTAAGCACACTCTTCCAGTTTAATATATGTTAAACAAAGAAAAATGAAATCACTTACTAAATCAAGTTAATTAAAATTGCTGATATTTTGCTAGGTTCGTTACAATCCTAACTTCAGACTCTAGGACGGTCTTTCAAAGTAACTTCTAAAAGTTAGTGATTTTAAAGTAGAAGTACGCATTAGAATCATCAGGGAAAGTTTGAAAACAGATTCTGGGGCTTATGGAAGACCTACAGGTAAAGGGGCTGACATCTACATAATGATTAAAAGCTTCCAAGCAAACTACATAGAGAGTGCCTCAAACAGTCAGAGTCCACAGTATGAGCTCTAGAATAGGAAGCCAAAGTGGGATGAAATAAAGCAGGGCTGTCGGGAGCCAAAAGAAAGTGGGGAAAAGAGAGACACACAAGAAAGAAAAAAGGTGAAGGAGAAAAGGGTAGAAGAAAGGCTGCCAAGTCATTCTCACCTGAAGAATACAAGAAAGTTTCCCTTGTTAGAAAAGACTCTGAATTTGAACTTCCTCACGGTGTATTTAAAGTTTCTAACAGTCTTTGTATTAGATTTACAAATCAGTAATCTGCTTTTTAAATTAATATTCCTAAAATGTAAAAACAATGTGTGTACATATATATATATATATATACACACACATACATATATATACATATACACACACATATATATATTCATAATGTTTTTCAGTATTCACTTAAAAATTTGTTGAAGTTACTTGAATATTTGTTGGCCCTTTTTCAAACAGCTTAATCTTCTACTAATCCTATTAAAACTAAACATGAGAATAGTTTCTTTTCATATTTTTATAGTAAGATAAAGTGGCTAAGACAACAGTTTTTGTAATAATCTAAATATAAAAACAAACCTGAGTCCATGGTGACAGATTTTGGAGGTCTAATAGGATAAAACACGAATGGGAAAATAGCACCATGAATCTGGTTTTGGATCTAAGAAAATAAAAAACAAGTTGGTATATAGCATATCAATTACACAACGACTAGAACCACCGCATTGAAGAAGTACAGGGACTCAAAAAGTCTAGTCTACCACTGAACTGATGTAGAAAGTAAATAGTCAGTGTGTTCCTTAAATTCTTTCTCCAACTTTTCAGTGTATTTAACACTCTTGTCTTCCACCTTGCCTTCTTCTTTAGGCTTTGTATTAGAAAGAAACTGATTCTGGGATTGTATCTGGTTCTTTATGTTTTGACTATATTTTTTTAGAAAAGCATACCTGTATTCTATAAATCTGAATTCTGAATGATGATTGATGAGCAGATGTGCTATATTCAACTTTTAATGCTGGAAGATAATTTCTTCGGAGAGCTATTACATGTGGTTGCAGAATTTTCATGCTATTACCACTAGGTGTTAAGCGAACCTGAAAAACGAAAAACAAAAAAACAGCAACAGCACTGAATGTCTCTTTTCCATAAATGATTAAAATTAGAAATTTATACCAACCAGCTTTTAAAAAATAATACTAATTAAAACATCAGGCTAAACATCTCATTTGACTTTACTACACCAAAAAATAAAGTGCTGGGGTACAGTTTGGTCTTTGAGCATCTGACTAGTATGTGGCAAGATCCTGGCCTTGCTCCCAGGAGGAAGAGGATGAAAGAAAGAAAGAAAAGTAACAAAAAAATACTGAAATGAAACACTAAAAATGAAATTAATAAAACAAACTTTTTATTTCTCATTAACTGACAAATTAACATCTAATAACTTAAAAGTTTGATTTCTCAACACATATGACCACACATATAAAGGGATATTATGTAAGTTAAGATTAACCATGTTCAATTTGTTTTGTAAGGAAGGCTGATTTCCCCTAACCTTCACTAGTGATTCAAACTTTAACAGATAAAAATTAAGGGCTGGTGATTTAGCTCAGTGGCACCGTGTCAACCTCACAAGTGTAAGGTCCTGAGTTTGATCCCTGGTACAAAAATAAATAAATAATAATAAATAAATCTTCACATCAGTACTTTAAAAATTTACCGAAATGCTGGTGTCCAACTCAATAATCTTGTCTTCTAAAGGTGAAGATTCAGTATATTCCTTAAATTCTTTTTCCAATTTCTCGGTGTGCTTTACACTCATTGGCTTCCATCTTGCCTTCTTCTTGTGCTTTGTCTCCCAAACTACATCAGAACTTATATATGAAAGCAAAAATCAAAGTGCTAATACATAATTTTAAATGGTTTATTAAATAAATTATAGTGTCCAATAAAATTCTGCAATAGCTTCAGCTCATCAGCACATTGAGTTTAAAAATGTAACTTTATTCAACTAATACTTATTCAGTCCCTGTTCAGATACTGTTCTAGTAAAAGAAACAGCAGTGAACATTTCTGCCATTGTTGTTCTTTTTAGTTGGGGAGTGAGACAGTAAATTGTAAACATTTAGTCAATTTTAATGTATAAGAGAGGGAAATCCTTTTGAAAGAAGAAAAAATAACAGAGTACAGAGGAGCCTTGGGATATGTGAAATGGCAGGGGCTGCAGTATTAAAATGAAGTGGTCAACAGAGGTCTCAATGAGAAGGTGAAATTTTATCCACCTTAAAGAGTATGAGGAAATTAAGTAGCAGATAAGGGGATAAGAACATTTTTGGTAAGCAATCAGCTTTAGCAGATACCATAAAGCAGCAGCACATCGGTAGTACATGAAGATAAGCAAGGAGGCTACCATGGCAGGAACATATTAAGAGCAGAAGATGAAGTCAGTCAATGGGCTGCCAATTAACATAAAGCTTTGTAGGTCATTACAAAGAATCTGCGTTTTATTTCAAGTAAGATTAGCAATATGACTTGACAATACTTTGTTAAGAATACATTGTGTATCTGGGTGTGGAGATAGAAAAAGGAGTCACAGCTATAAGCAGAACAACTTTTTTAAAGAAATGCTGAAGGGTCTGACTAGGATGTCACAACTGAAGTAATAAAAAGTCAGATACTATGTGTATTTTGAAGGGAGTTCCAGCACAGAACTTCTGGATGAAATAGATGTGAGGTGTGAAATAGGGTAACTCCAAAGTCTTTGGCCTGAAAATCTAGAAAGGGTTGGTCACAAGTAATTCTTATGACAAAGCACGGTTTGGTAGGGGAAGGAAATATGGAGTTTAGTGTTAATTCATGCAAAATTTAAAAGTTATCTCCTAGATACCTGAGCAGATTTTGTAAAGGCAGTTAGATATCCAGATCTAGAGCTCAGAAAATAGGTTTGGCTGAAAATATATATATAAATAAATTATGGTAATGAAAAATGAAATCAATAATAGCAGGTCTAAGAGCCTCAGAGTACCCAATATGAGAAACTGAGAGGCTGAAAAGGAACCAATGAGTCTGAGAATTTTGAGACAGGAAGGAAAACTAAGATGGTGATATATCCTCTAAGTCAAATAAAAGGAAGTCTATTAAGAGAGGATCTCCATTAAATGTTATCAAGTGAGAACTGATAATTCTACTGGATTTAGCATTGCAGAAGTCATTGGTAATCTTGCCAAGTATTATGACACATTGAAAACTAAACACTGTAGTGGCAAAATAAAAATGGATGAAAGTATACTGGAGATACTGAATATATTAAACTCTTTTCAAATGATATTTCTGAGGACCTTGCCTATAAAGAAAGAAACTGATAGTACGTAAAGAGAAGTGGGCTCAGAAATATATTTTTTGGTTTTTCTTAAATTGAGAGAAGTTAACACTGATGGCAACAATCAGTAGAGAGGCAGAAGTTGTAGACTTAGGACAAAAAGAGGAGGACTGGTGAATAAATTTCCATACATAGGTAAGAGTGAATGAAATATACTGCAAAGTAGAAAAGTGTTAAAAGGGGAGCTCCTAAGATGTATCTATATCAACTCTGGAGAAATATTTTAATTAGTTATCCATGCTTGTAGGTAGGAAGTTATAATATTGGGGGTTGAGGTGGATCTGTGAAAGTTTGCTCTTTATGGCTTCACTTTTCTCAGTAACACTAAGTAGTGAGCTGAGAGAAGCAATGGGGTTTGAGGAGAGGAAAAACGTACAACAGCCTAGGAAAGAAGTTATGAACAAAAGATATTTAACTGTACTAAGATTAAAATGTCTAAAGACCTGACAAAGGGCTGGAGAGGTGGTTCAGTAGAAGAGCACTTTCCAAGCAAGCTCTGGGTTCAATTCCCAGAGGTGGACAAAAATCAATCCTATCAAATAAAAAAAAAATGTACGCTTGGAAATTACTTCACTGTTATTTACGTATTAATTTTACTTAAGTATTTGTTTATTCTTTCCAAAATTTATATTTACTTAATAAATAGAAAGGTGGAGACTATGTATTGGTTATCTTTGCATTCATAAATTTGCCATAGTAGATAACACACAACAGGAATAATAGTATTTAAAAAACTGTTATCTGATATTTTTAATAAAAATTTACATTTTTGAGAAAATACAAATTGTTTTTAATGTTCCTCTTAAAAATGACATTCTGTTTATCTCAAAAAAATATATTTATCTTAAATGTATTTGTAAATGAGAATTACCTTAGTACTGATGAATAGCCAAAAACGAAAAACTGAATATATCATTTTCAGTGATAACTTCTTCATGATTAAGAACTGATTACATTTGCCCAAAACTGAACACATCTAACCTTGTAATGCCGATGTAGGCCACTTCTTGTTTTGTGTAATTGTTGACAAGAGAAATTCCAACATTTTGTAATGCCAGTGCAATTTCTTGCTCTGCTAACTCTGCTTTCTCACTTTCATATGTTGCTTTAAACACCTTTGAATCTTCAGTGAATAAAATAATGCGTTGCAGGCCTTCAAAGAAAGAAACTAAATATATGGTGTTCTTTCCTAAATTTATAGCTGTCATCATATCCTAGAAGAAAACAGTAAAAAAAAAATTAGTTTGGTCCCAACCAACATGAAGTATAGATTCCATATTTGCAAAATGAAAATATTAATAGCAACTATTTTACAAAGCTGGAAACTAAATGAATTTATATTTGTATAATATTTGGAAATGTAAAGTAATCATTGATTTTTAGCTACTTTATAGATTGCCAAATAACTGAATTAATATTTGTATAATACTTGGATATTTACTTCACTGGACCCATTTAATGTTCATTACTGATATAATTTAAGTTAGTAATCATGAAGACAGGTCAACTGTTTAGCTGCTTTAACATCTTAATGAAATCTAACTAACTTTCCTTTACGGGTTAATCAGTAACAAAGTATTATTTTCTTTGCTTCATTCTAAGGCTACAGAAAGGTACTATGTGTTTAAAGTTGTTTCACAAACGGGGTGTGGTGGTGCATATCTGTAATCCAAACACTGCAAGACTGAGGAAGGAGGATCTTAAATTCACACCTAGCCTGGGCAACTTAACAAGAGCCTGTCTCAAAACAAAAAATGGAAAAAGAATGAGTGTCCAGCTCGGTGCAAAGGCCCTGGGTTCAATCCTTAGAACTGAAAAGAGGGCAGGGGGTAGGGGGCAGGGCAGGACAAAAATTGCTTTAGTCTGAAAGTTCTATTTCTTTACACAGCTGAACAAGGCAAGATAAACAAATCTGATGTTTGTTACATATTCTATAAAGCAATGATACTTAACACTGGTTAATTAAGCAGAAAATCATTCTATAATCAGAGTATCAGGGTTTTGAATTTCAGTAACAAGTTACATGCCGTAAACTGGAGTAATTAAGAGTCAACCATGAAGACAATGGAAAAATATCATCAATATGCTGAAACTCAGAACCCAAAACTCCTTACGAGCAAAAAAAATCATCAATTTTCAGTGACGAAAAGTACACAAAATAAAATGCTTACAGACTACTAATGTTCATCTCCAAAAGAGACTGACTCAAGGAAATTCTACTGAAGGCACTACCCTGTAGCAAAAGAAAATGACCCAAGATGAAGGTTTAAAGCAAAAGAAAAATATTACGCAAATTTTCCTATGAAAGGAAAAACAACTTATAAAATTCAATAACCAGCTGCAATAAAAACTTTTGGCAAACAAAGATTAAACGAGAAGTTCTTTAATTTCTTATCCAACTTTTTTTTCTGAAAAAATTTAGTAAAACTTATAACATGTAAAGTTGGAGGCATCAAATTTAAGATCAGAAAATAAAGGCAAAAATATATCTGCAGTCATCATTTTTATTCAACAATATATAAACATTCCAGCCAGTTGAATAAGGAAAATGAAATGAAAGAAAATAAAGTTTTATTATTTGTGTTCTGTCCATACAGAAAAATTTAAAGAAATATTTAATATTAATTTTTAAAAAAGCTCACTGAATCTGATTATTAAAAATATTGTGAATTTCTGGGTTGGTAATTGATGACCAGATAGTCATCTCTCTTGCTCAAAAAAAAGAAAGAGCTAGACAAAATATAAAAAGTAAAACACGTCTGAAAGGCTAGAAAAGCAGTAAAATTGTAAAATTAGTAAGAATGGGACTAAGATCTAAAAGGCAAAGAACCTTGAGAACTTCGTATTTGGAGTGGCTTTCTCTAAAAATTAACTGCCAATTACAAAAGTAGAGGAAAGCTGCAAGATTAAGAACATCAGCTGGGTATCAGGTAGCCTATGGTATAGGGTGAAAGATAAAGATCTACTTTCATTCTTTTGCCTGTAGATAACTAGTTTCTCCTAGTCCATTTATTGAACTACATCTTACTGTCTCTTCTTCATTGTGTTTTGATACCTTTATAAAAAAAACTGCTGGCAGTAAATGTGTGAATTTACTTTTGAGTACTCTCTTTTGTTCCACTGAACTATGCATCTGTCTTTATGCCAATAACACATTACTTGTATTAATATAGGTTTGTAGTATATTTTGAACTCAGGTAGCATAATGCCATAATGTTTTTTTTGGCTTAAAATTGCTTTGACTATTCAAGATATTCTGTGGTTCTACAAAATTTTTTTTCTGTTCTTATAATTTTTGGTATTTTGATAGAAATTGCTTTGAATCTATACACAATTTTAGTAATATGAACATTTAACAATATTATCATAATACATGAACAGTAGATATCTCCTCATTTGTTTCTGATTTGTTTCATCAACGTTTTACAGTTTTCAGTGTAGGTATTTTACATCCTTGATTATACTTGTTTCTTTTCTGTGGTAGCTGTTGTAAATGGGATTGTTTTCATAATTTTTTTCAAGTAGTTCAACTATTCTAGAAACATCACTTGTTTTTGCATGTTGCTCCTGTAACTAGGCTGAATGCTTATTACTTTTAACTGGGTTTTTTTTTGGGGGGGTGGAATTTTTAAGTTTTAAAAAAATTATATGAGATAATTCCTACAAAACAGGTACAATTTAACTTCTTTCTATTCTGGATGTCCTTTATTATGTTTGCCTAACTGCCCTGGCTAGGACTTCTAGTACTATGCTGAAGAGGCAAAAGTAGGAATCTTTGAGGAAAAGGTCTTAGCTTTTTCCTGTTTGTTGGGTTTGTCATATCTGGTCTTTGGTATGTTGAGATACAACCCTTCTACACTTACTTCTTGAGAGTTTTTATCATGAAAGGCTGTTGAACTTTGTCAAATGCTTCTTGTGCATCTACTGAAATAATTACATGGATTTGCCCTTCATTCTACTAATTTAATGTATCATGTTTATTGATTTGCTTATGTGAAAACCATTCTTGTATCTCTGTGATAAATTTAATTGTAACAAATGATCTTTTACTGTGCTTTAAAATTCATCTGACAAGTATTTTGTTATGAATTTTTGCATCTATTTTTTTAACGGAGATAATTAGAATGCAGTTTTCTTTTTTTGCTGTCTTTATTCGGTTTTGGTATCAGGGTAATGTGGCTTTGTAGAATGAGTTTGGAAGTTTTCAATATTTTCAGAATAGTTTGAAAAGAATTGGTAATACTTTCCTTAAATGTTTAGTGGAATAAAGTCATCAGGTTCTGGACATTTCCATGACAATAGATTTTTTATTATTGATTCAAATCTTGTTATTAGTCTGCTGAGATTTTCTCTTTCCTTCACAATTCCATCTTGTTAGGTTTTGTGTGTTCAGAAATTTACCCATTTCTTCTAGGCTATTCAATTTGCTAGCATGTAATTGTTCATAATAATCTTAAGATTCTTTGTATTTGTTGTGCTGGTTGTAATGTTGCCTTTTCCTATCTGATGGGAAAAGTCTAGCTAAAGTTTAATTTTGTTAATTAAAAAAAAAAACAAGTCTGTTCAATTTCATTAGTTTAAAGAAATGCAAATTAACACCAAAATGAGGTATCTTCTCACAACAGTTAGAATGACTTTTATAAAAAAGACAAAAGGCGAGTGTTGGAGAGTATACACAGAAAATAGACTCTTCTCATACACCATTGGGGATAATATAATGTAGTACTCCATTATGAAAAATAGAAGGTTCCTGAAAAAACTAAACATAGAACTACCATATAATCTAGTAATCTCAGTTCTGTATATATCATTATCCAAAAGAACTGAAGTCATTGTGTCAATAATCAATAAGTTCACTGCAGAATTACTCATAATATTCAAGATACAGAAACAACCTAAGCAACCATCAATGATGGATGAAGAAGGAAATGTAGCATATATGCACAGTGGAATTACTATGGAACTTTAAAAACTTTAAATTTAAAAAATTCTATCATTTATGATAATGGATGAATTTGGAAGACATTGTGTTACATGAAAGAAATAAGCAAGCACAAAAAGACAAATGCCACATGATCTCATTATGTAGAGTATAGTGAGATTAAATACAGAGGTAGAAAGAATTGTGGATACAAGAATCAGGAGGAAGCAGTGAAAGAAAAGGGATTGGAAAATCCCGAACAAAGAAAAAGGAGCAAAAGAAAAGATAGCAGGAATGGGTTTTGAGATCAACTGCACAAGCAGGATGACCATGGTAAAGGGTAATATATTGCATACATTAAAATAACTAAGAATTAGTTTCAAATCTCAACAACAAAATGATGGATAGTGATGAATATGTTGACTACTTTTTAAAATTTCATCATGTCATATTAACATATATTAAAACCTCAATGTACCCTGTAACTAATTACGACTAAGCAAAAATTTTAAAAAATCACTTAAAAAATGGACGCTATGACACGGTAGGCAGTACAGCTTTAAGCTTCTTTTACTGTGATGATGACTGTAGGTTTCTTGAAGGAAATTTATAAGCTACACACTCATGGGTGGTTTTAAGAGCTATGCTTCCAGGAAGATGGCAGAGCAGTAAACAGCAACAAATAAGCTTCTGTAAGATTCAGAATCCAGACACTGGAAAATAACAACTAGGGGAAGAAAAGAAGGAGAGAGGTAGATTCTTGAGACCCAGGTGGAGCCTACAGAAAAACTGAAGAGACAGACCAAAACTCAGAAAAAGGAAGGGAAAATCTATACTTTCTACCTGGCTCAAGAGAAAGAAAGACGGAATCTACAGAGCCACAGTGAAAGCGGAAGACCCCAGAGGCCCACAGGAGGATACACCACCAGTGGAATGGAGTGGTGGAAGCAGAATTCTACAACAGCTGGTCAGTGAGCCAGTCCAAGTAAATGCCACATTCCCTGGAGAAATTGCTTGATCTGATGCCATTCTAGGTAGGAGACAACTGAACTTGGGACTCACAGCAGCCACAGAATGGCAAACATTAATTAATATGAAAAATCAAATAAGCACTAATACAATTATAATGCATGACCTCAATACCCCACTGTCACAAATAGATCAACTAGACAAACAACAACAACAACAACAACAAAACAAACAGAAACATCAGAATAAAACCAAACCTTTGAACAAATGGACCTAGTAGATACTTACAGTGTGTTCCAACCAACAACAGAATACATATTCTCA